TTCTCATCCTTCTTTCATTGTTAAGTCAGACAAGATCTCTAAAGCCTTTTTAACCCATCAAGTAACGTTTTATCTCACATTTAAGCCTGACTCTAACTTTCTTTCTATGCCAAGTTAATTTCCATACTAAAACTTTTCGATTATCAAACCTCAAACTTTGATTACAAAAGTTTCTAACCAATTCAAACTGAGCAAAATTGAAATTTTGACACAACGTTGCATTCGAATAAGTGCGTGTTTTTATATACCTATTATTATATAGATGTCAGACCTGTGACAGGTAAAAACATGCTTTTTTGAAAAACAGCGCCATCTGTTGGACGTAAAAGCAACACACTTCTTTTCCATTTAACCAGACTGAGCCACAGCAATGCTAGTTATGAATATAAAATGCGGTAATTACAGTGGCATGCACAAAACCAGTCTGGATTGTTTTTAGAATTGTGAACTATGGCAGTGCTGTTTTGTCAAGTAGATTAATCTTTAGGAATGGGGTTATGAAAAATTGAGGCATTGATAACTCCAAATAAATGAGAGCAAATGGATAGAGTTGCATTTTACTTGGAGTCAGTGTGAAAGAGTTTGCTTTCTTCCTGGAAACGTCATAATAAAACTGATTGTTAAAAGCAAAAAAAAAAAAAAGCTTGCTCGGTGTATCGTGAACTTTTAGTTGAGTAAGTGATCCACCAGTTCTTTTGGAACTAAACTCAATACTCTACGAAGTCCTCTAGATTCTGGGTTCCCCACATCATCTTTGCAAAAATGATGGGTTTTAATGGCATGAATTTCTTTTAAAATAAGGGATAATAAGGGCTAGAAATGTTGGGCTCTTCAACTCTGGAAGTGTGGCCTTCATTCAGAGTGCGAAAGTCACTTAATCTTATAGAAAGTTGTCTAAGCTAGTGGACTAACACTAAGCTCTGTCTCCATTCCCACAGCTTAGCACGGTGCAAAAGCTCTTGTCTCAAAACCTGGTGTCAATAAATGTCCAGGATGAAGATCAATATACTCCTCTTCACCGCGCTGCCTATAACGGACACATGGAAGTGGTGCGTGAGCTGATTGCTCATGGGGCAGATGTCCACGCGTTGACCGTGGATAGCTGGACACCTCTGCACAGTGCGTGCAAATGGAACAACACCAAAATTGCCTCATTCTTGCTCCAACATGGGGCAAAAGTCAACGCTCAGACCAACGGGTTGCTTACACCTCTGCACTTGGCAGCCGGAAACAGAGAGAGCAAGGAAACCCTTGAACTGTTACTCATGAATCGATACTTAAAGCCCAATCTCAGAAACAACTTGGAAGAGACGGCTTATGACATTGCTCGAAGGACTGACAAATACCATTATTTGTTTGAAATTGTTGAACACTGCACAAATTCTGTCGCAGACTCTTAGGAATTGTATACCTAACACACATGGCCAGAGCTTTTTAAAGAAATCTATTTTGTCATTGCATTCTCAGCTCTTTAGGTCATAACTTAGCAGGTGGCTCAAATGAGGCTCTGTTGAGTAACACTGACATTATTTTTATAAGATAAGTTATGTGTCTATGGAGATTCTCAATCATCCAGGTCATGATTATCCCAAAGGTGCTTTTTTCCAAAAGACAACTGGACTTTCTTGGTCTTTTTTTTTTCTTCCCCTTGTGAAAACGTTTCGTTTCTCATCCAGGAAGCTTCTTCGGGTCTGAACTTCTTGGATGAGAACGGAAACATTCTCAAAAGAAAAATAAAACCAAGAAACTCTAGTTGCCTTTTGGAAAAGAGCATCTTTGGGACAAGGTAGGCTATGCTACCCTTGTGGAACATTTTCACTTTAACTTGAAAAAAAAACATGGTTATTTTGGTGCTGTCCCTATCCATTGTAAATGGAAATCATCACAGAGCCACAAAATAACATGTAAATATTCAGCTGGGAGAAGCAACACTGCTCAAAACATTTGCTGCTTCTTTTTAAGGTATGTGACGTTTTAATGAGACTTAACTGGTGACTAATAATTTTCAACAGAGAAGAACATGGAATTTAAACTATTGCTATTCACGGACATATCAAAGATAGCAGCTGCCAAAAAATGGAGCTACCTGGTTAATAATGTGATTCAGATTTCCAAAATCTACTTCGGTATCTGTATAAGATATACCTGTATCTAATTCCTTAGTTGCCAAACATTACATTTTGTGTCTCAGGTTTTGCTTTTGAAAGTGACGATATGGCTGCCTATGTGTAGAAGTGTTTTGTTTATATTTTTATTGATCGGGTTTCTGAGTCAAGTTACCTGAGTTTTCAGTTATTTTTGAACTTCATGATCAGAATTGCCAATTAATATGTCCAATGGTCATGTTGATTGGCAGTTCAGGGAGTTGCAATTGCAGCACATTCAGAAGTCAACAGTTTGGTGAAAGTTGCTTAATAGGCCTTTGCTAAATCACATTGAGTTATTCAGTTTTTAAAATGGTTTGTGTTCTTTCAGTACCACTGCAGTTCACAAACTCTTAGTAATATTTCAAAGTTATTTTCAGCAGCAGAATACACTACAGCTGACTGGTCCAAAGATTGCTTGGAAGTACCTTATTGTACAACTGCTTGCCTTCTTAAATTATGTTTTGAATTTTTGGAAAACTTTGGGTTCTCGTTCAGAAGTAATCTCTGAAATTTATTCACAGATGCATGAAAAAATCATCGTGCGTTTGGTTCACTAGCTCTAAAGATACTTAGGGCTGGTTCACATAATTCTTTGATACACTTGAGGTTGAAAAAAAAATTTCTTTGCAATTTCTTTGCATTTTACCAGATAAAAATTATGTAACTCTTTTCATGAGATTTTATGTGCATGTACGTGGTGATGTATAGAATGTGAAGCAGCATTTGTGTTTGTGAAGTGAAGAGTGGAAGATATGCTGAGTGTGATACAACTGAGCTTTCTGCTAAAATGATAAGTTTGTAAGAATACAAGTATCTTTTGCTTCAGTTCAAATTTCTCCTGTGCACTCCGTTTGCTACTTTGAATGCTTTGTGTGAACCAGCCCTGACCTAAAATAAAATCCCTGTAAATATGGGATTTATGTGGTTTGCTGTAGCATGATGTACTTTCACTGTAAAATTAGTTGTTTTGGTTCATTAAAGTTATTTCTGAACAAGTGATTTGATGGATGTAACAAATCCAAGCTGTTAATGCCTACTGATATTGTAGTATGAAGTCCCAGTTCCGTTAACAACCATGAAAGTTTTATTGGCATTAGAGAAACTCTAACTGCAATTAGATATAACATATTGTAATATAATCCATAGCATATTAGAACTGAATGCCAATACATCGCCTTGATCTTAACTCCTTGGATTTCCAACTACTATATGCCAGAATTGGGAAAATATCATTTTGTTAAAAATTAGAAAATAATGCTAATAGTTGAGGCTTAAATTTTGAAGCAATCACTTATCTTAAGGCACTTCAACGTAATGTTTTATGAACCCTTCTAAATATGTGTTTCCAGTTTGGACATCCTTATCACATTTTATATCCAAGTATCAAATTAAGAGGGTCATCAGACCACTAGTTAAAGTTATACTACAAATTTAAACCAGCACAAAACCCATTGCGGTGCCTCAATTTTTCCAAATAATATTGTTAATTGTTCTATCGAAAAGATATTTCTACATGAAAAAGACTGCTAGTTATATCATAAAATGACTCCCAGGATTCTCTAACTCTTAAAATTTTCTTTATTGATTTATTTCTCCCGTTGATATATATGCCCAATTTATAATTATTCTGAGGAACTTACAGCAAAATTAAAATCAAATCAATGCCTCAGATCTTAAAAACTAAAACTGCTAGCAGCTCTGGATGATCACTCAATTCCATAAAATGCTTCTTAAAAATATCTCTCTGGCTCACTCAACACTTTGACTCAATCTCTGTGGGAACAGCCAAATCTTCTGTGTCTTCAGGGTTTCATTCAGATTTTAAAAAGGAATAGCCAGAGGGTGTGCTCTGAGGAACACGTCAAAGAAGGACTCTCAGCCTCTCTCTCCCTACAAACACTGACTGGAACCGGCTTTGGAAGAAGGAGAACCGCTGCAATACTATGATTCCACTCCTATCCTACATTGGTCCAGAGGGATATCATGATCAATGTACTGATCTCGACGGAAGGAAGCAAGCTCAGGATTCATTTTGCAGGTCCCATCCTGAGGCCTCCAGAGACCATCTGCAACTCTGATCAACGCAGTCTCAATATTATACCCAAATTAACAGATAATCCATTTCTTTCTGGACCTTCTTAGTTGCAGCACAGTTACCTTTTCCACAACTTTCTCTCAAAAGGGGAAGATGGAAACTTTGAAAATTATCCAGTACAGTATAATTAAGTCCAGTGATGGTTTCTTGAGTGAAAATGAACCACCATCTTAAAAGTGCAGATGGGACCACCACCCGCTCAAGACTGAGTTAATAATTGCCTGAACCCAATCCCATGTCATTTTACACAAGTAATATTAATTTCCATGGAAATCTGATCTATTGTGTGCAAAATCCATAGTAATGCGCTCCAAGAAACTCCAGTTTCACAGATAATCTGATAATTATAATTATAATCTGATAATTTCCACCCGTTCATCTTTTCGTTATTATATTGATGTATTTTCATTTTCTTTTACGTTGTTTGTTTTATTCTATTGTTTTACTTCTCGTTTTCACGCTTCATTCCTTATTATTATAAGCTGCCTAGAGTAGCCGCATGGTGAGATAGGCAGCAAATAAATTTCACAAATAAACAAATACCATCTGCTGTCCCTAGTAGTAAAACATCATTGGATCTTTAT